CCTGACCCAAGCCATGGTATTTTCAATGGCCTCATATGCATGCAAAAGCTGGACAATGAATAAGGAAGACAGAAGTAGAATTGATGCCTTTGAATTGTAGGGTTGGTGACGAATATTGAATATACCATGGACTGCCAGAAGAATGAACAAATCTGTCTTGGAAGAAGTACAGTCAGAACGCTCCTTAGAAGCAAGGATGGCGAGACTTTGTCTCATGTACTTTGGGCATGTTATCAGGAGGGATCAATCCCTGGAAAAGGACATCATGCTTGCATGGATTGACACAGTGGCTGCAAGAATGGGCTCAAACATAGCAACTTTTGTGAGGATGGCACAGGACTAGACAGTTTGGTTCTGTTGTACATAGGGTTGCTATGACTCAGAACTGACTTGATTACACCTAGTAACAATAACATAAATATATATATACACATGTATACACACACACACACTGTAAAAATTGGGAAGCTAAAACTACTCAGATTTCTAGCTTCTCTAGAATGTGTTCACGCCCTTACCCCACCAGGCATTTACACTGAGCACCAGGGCCGAGGCTGAGAAAGGCTACCCTTTTATTGGGGTCTGTGGCGCCATCTTGTCTCTCTAACACAGAGACCCAGCCCCCAAGGTACCTGCTGGGGTCTCTTGAGGCTCACAATCCCTGAAGTAAAGGTTCTCTTTCTACAATGTCTGAATACACCCAGCAAAGAACATCTAAGAGTAACTAGACGTCTAAGAGTAACTCTAGAGTCTAGAGGCTGATGAGAACTTGGAAGCGTGTTTACACTTTCTCTTCTGATTCTTAGAAACACATTGACTACGAGTAAATCTATGACCTTCAAAAATGCAAGGAAACTCGAGGATGAAATTTAAAAATTTATTCAGAGTACATATTTTAAAAATCATTTCTAATTCCAGTACCAAAGGTAAACCTGAACTCCAAACATTTCCAGAAGAAATGCAAATATGCTGACCTATCTACCTTAATGGTGTCCCTGGGCGGTGTTGGCTGCTAAAAGGTTTTAGGTTCGAGTCCACTCAGAGGCGTCGGGAAGAAAAGCCTGGTGATCTACCTCCAAAAAAAACCAACCACTGAAAACCCCATGGAGCAGAGTTCTGCTCTGACACGCATGATGAGGTCTCCATGAACTGAAAATGAATTGACAGCAACTGTTTTTTTTTTAAATCTGTCTTAATGTTAAATCTTAAATGTTTGTCTCACTTGCTCATAGGTTGCATCTAGAATTCCACTCTCATGAATTTCATTTTCTGGACTAGGGAACGAATGTCTCGCAAAATCCCACATAGAAGGATTCGCAGTATCTAACTGTGGCAACCGCTCTAGGTACCAACTGCCAACACCCTTGTTGCACCGCTTGGAACTGTGAACTCACCTGTCCACAGACATTTGTCCCATTTTTCTTCACTAGTTCCGGGGAGTGTCCATTTTCCCTTTGTTTATTAAAAGGACTGCTCCTTTGGTGTGATTCATTTTCTTTTTGGGGAAGCTGGATGCATTTTTTAAGCCTAAATTCTGCATTTGGAGTCAACTGCAGGGTCTCTTCCTTCTCACAGTTCTGCTTAAAAAGGAGCCTCCCATTGGCAATGACCATGGAGGCAAACCTCTTGATGTCTTCTGGAACCATCCGCGCCACCATGACAAATCTCTCCAGGTCATCTGGGCTGTTTTGGACTTTGTCCGTCACAAGAATTTCCAGGGACCAACGGCAGCTATCCAGGCTTTCCTTTGTTTCCAGAAGGGTCTGATAGGAGCAGGAGATTGTCTGGAGCTGATCCTTAAATCTGGCCTGAAGGTTACTGTCGGTGAGGTGACAGGCTGTCTGTTGGACCCATCGGGCAAAATCCAGAAATTCTCTTAAAGATTCTTCTACGTGGTCCACGGCCCTGTGGACTTTGTCGATATTGGCCTCCAGATACTCCCTGAACCTCCAGTTCCTACTTACAAACAGCATCAGGTCTGCCACGGCGCCGGCCACCTTGTGCTGCAGGGCAGTGACTGTCTCCTTGGCCACATTCAGGTCCACAGAGAGCTCCTTTGCCGATTCCTCCGAGGACGAGCTTGAGGAGGAATCGGTGGACATGGAGGAGCAGGAAGATACCATGCTGGCTCTCCTGCTGTCAGAGCTGGCAACCACCAACGTGTCGGGTTCAGGAGACGTGGACGTGGCCGGTCTGGAGCACCACGACGAGCTGTGGTCCACGCAAGGCTCGGTAGCCCCACCTGCTTTTTTCAGGTCTCTCACACCCCAAGGGACGTTGGCCATTGCTTTCGGGATGTCATAAATATTTGGCTTGGTGTTCTGCTGTTCCACATGGGGAATCAGAAAGCTTGAGGGGACTTTGTAGTGGACACCCTCATCCAGGGCATCTGTGTTCCTAGGTGCCTGAAGGCCATAAGCAGGAATTTCTGGGAGTCTGAGTGTTTTCTGCCTAGACACATTTTTATACAGTTGTTGATTGAGGGAGCTTGGACTGCTATCCAGGGAAGGACCATGGAAAGCGGGGACAAGCTTGGGAGGCGAGTGGGGCCTCGCTTCTTCGTACATGCTGCTTAGAGGCATGTTTCCCATGCTGACTTTTTCTGGAGACACTGGAGCGTCATAAATCCATTCTGACTTCTGAGGGTTTGGCAATGTGCTGTAGCTGCATCTTCCTACCATCGGAGATACCGGGGGAGCACTGTGTTTCTGTGGAGAAACCACACGAAGCCCCCCAGTTTAGTAGCAATAAAAAGAGGGTTTGAGTGACTCATACAGCAAATGCGTTATACTGAGGAACTACCGAGTGCCGGGCACTGTGCATCTTAAAAAGCTGGTTGTCACTCCCGCTCAAGCTTCTTCAGTGGCTCCCCGTTGCTGTTATCCTCAAGGCCCTTCACAATCTGGCCGTGTCCTCCCCACGCCTCTTTTCTCTCTACTTCCAGCACACCTGACCCTGCTACGTCTGCCACCATCCTCCTTGAAGATCCAGCCACTTGGGCTGTTTACCTTTCCCTGAACATAGAATGCTTTGTTTAATTCAATTTTGCCCAAATCACTCCCTCTGCTCTACACGCCTTCCATCCCTTTCCCTCTAACAAACCCGTACACCTGCTTCAACCCGCAGCTGAAATGCCACCTCTTTTGTAAGGCCTTTCTTAGTAACCTCAGGCCTAAGGCTATTTAAAGGAGCCCTGGTGGCAATGGTTAAGTGCTTGGCCACTAAACGAAACGTCAGTGGTTTGAACCCACCAGCAGCTCCACAGGAGAAAAGACCTGGCCATCTGCTCCCGTAAAGATTACAGTCCAGGAAACCCTATGGGACCGTTCTGCTCTGTCACATGGGGTCCCTATGAGTCAGAATTGACTTGACAGCACACAACAATAAGACAGTGGTATACTTGTGGTAGAATCCAATAATAAACATGGATTACACAGGTGTCAAATCAAACTACATACATTTTCCCTATATACACATGAAAGCTTACTTTACTGTAATGGGTCTATGAGGTATACAGTAACAAGAGAAATTATCTAATGTTTATTGAGTTTTTGCTCTGTGCCAGGCACTGTACCAGGTCCTTTGAAGGGAACATCTCATTTAATACTCCCAAGAAGCTGTAATAAGAACCTGAGGCATTGAGAAGTTAAAAGTCTTATTCAAAAACACATCGCCAGTCCTATTCCAGAACACCATTGCAGTTAAGGGGTTTTGCCTCAAATGAGGAAGTCCCTGGGTGGTGCAAATGGTTATTAACTTGGCTGATCATTGAAAGATTGAAGGTTCGAGTCCACCCAGAGGTGTCTCGGAAGGAAGCCCTGGCAATCTACTTCTGAAAGATCACAGCCATTGAAAACCCTATGGAGCACAGTTCTACTCTGACGTACATAGGGTTGCCATGAGTCAGCGTCGACTCAATGGCAACTGGTTGGTTTGGCCTCAAATAAGGTCTCTGCTACAAGGGAGTTGTGTTCCTATTTTTGACCAAGCTACTGAATTCCCCAGAGCACCTTCAGGTTCTCCTAGCATTGAGTCTTAGGCCTTCTCTGTACTTACACTGGCTTGGCCGACTGGAGGCCGTGGTCCTGCCTTTTGGGGACTGGGTGGTATGTCATATAACTGCTGCTTTTCTGGCATCTGGGAAGAGACCACAAAGGAGAACAACTTGGATTTTTTCTCTTGATGGCTACACGTCACGAACGCTCCCCACTCCAATGGTTTCTCCAAACAAAAACACAGAACACAGAAGACTTTGGGGCTCTCAGTCCTGACACTCTTACGGTGGAAATGCATACGCTGCAGTGGACATGTTTTCAACATCAGACTCTGTGCTTTAAAAATGCACCTTCTCAAAGATTAAACAGGCCCACAAAACAAAATGAGACTAAAGGGGCACACCAGCCCGGGGGCAAGGACGAGAAGGCAGGAGGGGACAGGAAAGCTGGTAATGGGGAACCCAAGGTTGAGACGGGGAGAGTGTTGACATGTAGTGGGGTTGGCAACCAATGTCACAAAACAATATGTGTATTAATTGTTTAATGAGAAACTAATTTGCTCTGTAAACCTTCATCAAAAGTACAATTAGAGAAAAAAAAAAAGCACCTTCTCCACAGAAGATGGGGGACAAACCATAGAAAAAGTTGACTGCAATTACCTGAGTTAAGTCTCTGGGTGGTGCAAATGGTGAATGCTGCTAACCAAAGGGTTGGAGGTTTGAGTCCACCCAGAGGCACCCTGGAAGAAAGGCCTGGCAATCTACTTCTGAAAAATCAGCCATGGAAAACCCTACGGAGCACAGTTCTACTCTGAGACACATGGGGTCACCAGGAGTCAGAATAGACTCTACAGTAACTGGTTTGGTGCCTGAATTTAAAACAGTGACTTTTTTCCTGCTGTGAGTTAGCCTGAAGGCAGGGGCAGGGGAGAACAATGCCACAGAGCAGTTCTGATGGGTTAAGAAGTGAGTGAAGTTGTTTTCTGGCTACATGATGCGTGTTTTACAAATGTGATGTACCAGTTACATACAGGTAAGTTAAATTAAAAAAAAAAAAAGGGTAAAATCTCACCCCTAAGATATTATCAGTTTTAAGCCTGTGGTACGTATCTTGGAGCCCTGGTGGCATAGTGGTTAAGAGCTCAGCTGCTAACCAAAAGGTTGGCAGTTGGAATCCACCAGTTGCTCCTTGGAAACCCTATGGGGCAGTTCTATTCTGGCCTATAGGGTCACTGTGAGTTGGAATCGACTCGATGGCAATGGGTTTTTGTTGGTACGTATAAGACTTAACAAACGTGTGTGTGTGTGAGTATATACGCGCATATACACAGGCGTCCCTGGGTGGCACGAAGGGATGAGTGCTCAACTCAGCCAAAAGGTTGATGGTTCAAACCCCCCAGAGGCGCCTCAGGAGACAGGCCTGGCAGTCTGCTTCCGAAAGGTCACAGCCTTGAAAACCCTATAAACTAAAACCAAGCCTGTTGCCATTGAGTCGATTCCTACTCGTGGAGTGGTTCTGCTCCGCACACATGGGGTCGCTGTGAGTCAGAATCAACCTGACAACAGCTAACAGCAACAACACACACACACACACACACACACACACACCGTAAACCGAAACCAAACCCACTGCTGTTGAGTCGATTCTGACTCACAGTGACCCCATGTGACAGAACACTGGCCCATAGGGTCTTGTTGGCTGTAATCTTTACAGGAGCAGATGGCCAGGTCTCTCTCCTGCAGAGTGGCTGGGTGGTTTCAAACCCCAAACTTTCGATTAGCTTAACCTTTGCATTGCCGGGGCTCCTTTTTTGGACAAGTGGCCCCACATCTTCATTTTATACTGAGTCTCACAAATTACATAGCCAGCCCTGCCTCCATCACTACTTCTGATCACACCAGTTAACACTTGATACAAGTCTACACTTGGCCAGACACACTGCTAAGTGCCCTAAAACCAACCAACCAACCAACCAACCAACCAAACAAACAAAAATCAAACCTGTTGCTCTCAGGTCGATTCCGACTCATAGAGACCCTATAGCACAGAGTAGAACTGCCCCAGAGGGTTTCCAAGGCTGTAAATCTTTATGGAAGCAGACTGCCACATCTTTCTCCCGCAGAGCAGCTGGTGAGTTTGAACTGCAGACCTTTTGGTTAGCAGCTGAGCGCTTAACCACTGTGCCACCAGGGCTCCTACAGATACCATACGTATATCAAATATCTATTGCAAATGAGAAGTAACAAATTTTTTAAAATTTAATCGTGCTTTAGGGGAAAGCTTACAGCTCATGTTAATTTCTCATTCAAAAATTTATACACATACTGTTTTGTGACATTGGTAGCAATCCCCACAGTGTGACAGCACGCTCCCCCTTTCCACCCTGGGTTCCCTGCGACCACTCGTCCAGTTCCTGTCCCATCCTGCCTTCTCATCTTGCTTTTCGGCGGGAGCTGCCCGTTTGGTCTCGTATTATTTGATTGAACTGAGAAGCATGTTCCTCACGTGTGTGACTGTGAGAAGTAACACATTTTTGAAAGTTCGGAAATCAAGTATTCCTATCTTTCTCCTGAGCTGGTCTGGGCTCCCCGGGGCACAGAGGAGATTACAAAGTGGCTTCTAAGGGAGGGTGGGTCTCGTGGAGCCAGGGGTCAGTGACGCTCCGGCAGACAGTCGCCTGCCAGGAAAGCAGAAAGGTCACGCCTGTGGGTGGTTTTGCTGCCAATGAGCCTGGGTGGATCA